ATCTTGGCTCACTGCAACCTCTGCCTTCCAGGTTCAAGTGATTCTCCTGCCTCAGCCTTCCAAGTAGCTGGGATTACAGGCCTGTACCACCACACTCAGTTAATTTTTTGTATTTTTAGTAGAGATAGGGTTTTGCTGTGTTGGCCAGGCTGGTCTTGAACTCCTGACCTCAGGTGATGTGCCTGCGTCAGCCTCCCAGAATGCTGGGATTACAGATTGAACACCGCACCCAGCCTTTTTTTTTTTTTTTTTTTTTTTAGCTTTAGAGTTTCCCTTTCAAATTGTTTTTTATCCATTTTGTTTAACCTAAGCAAAGACCTGAAATCATGGGTTTGATGAACTACTTATGTATTTTCTTTTTTTTTTCTTTTATTTGCAGCCCCTGCTGTTGCACTACTGATGTATTTTTCAAATGCCCATTAAGATGACAAAATATTAAAACAAGAAAAGATTATCCATCTACCCTCTCAGATTTCCTTAGATACCACCAATGGCACATTTGGCACTCTTTTAGAAACAATTGCTTTACTGGATTTCTGCGCCTGCAGCCTCCTGCACTTTTTGAGTGATACTCTATTGATACTTCCTTTGTCTTTCCTCAGGCAGGAGCTATGCTTCAGAGTACAGTGGAATCTCTCAGCAGGACCTGGTGTGGCTCAGATTCCAGCTTAGTTTATGAGAGAGCCTTTCTGGCAGTGTCAGTGAAACTTCTTGAGTGTGTGGCTCACATGGCTCCTGAAGTGGTGAGACAGGTGGCTAACTCCATGATGGGTATGATCAATGGGAACAGAGCCATCCGGGAGTTCATCCAGGGCCAGGGAGGTTGGGTAAGTATGTTGGGGCTCCTGGTTTTGCTAGGTATTTGCACTGTTTTTGTACTAATACTTGGGATTCCAATTCATGACCCTTTTTGTAAATTGGAAAACAACAGGAAAACAGGCTTCCCTACTTTGCAAAAATTCCTGAATTTTCTTGCTATGAAATAGTGTGCAGCAGACAGAAGCTCAGCTTGTGGGAGGGAGCTGGACTCCAGAGTCATGCTACCTAAAATATTGCCTGCTGACTACTATAAAGCTAATCTTCATTTCCTACACACAATCATCTGTAAAGTATATTCGTGGTAGAGTTCTAATTTCAGCCTGGCTTCACTCTCTTCTCTGGTAAATTTCTGGGTCTTTTTTTTCCATAACATCTTTATGTGTATGTTAAGGAAGTCAGAATCACCTTAATAGTATCTAAGAAAAAACAGTCGGCCAGGTGCCATGGCTCATGCCTATAATCCCAGCACTTTAGGAGGCTGAGACAGGCAGATCACAAGGTCAGAAGTTCGAGACCAGCCTGACCAACATGCTGAAACCCTGTCTTTACTAAAAATACAAAAATAAACTGGATGTGGTGGTGCATGCATATAATCCTAGCTACTCAGGAGGCTGAGGCAGGAGAATTGTTTGAACCCAGGAGGCAGAGGTTGCAATGAGCTGAGATTGTGCCACTGCACTCCAGCCTGGGTGACAGAGCAAGAATCTGTCTCAGGAAAAAGAAAAAAAGTAAAAACAGTCTTTGCTGTAGTGGTGACTGTAGAAGGTATTCTAAGCCCATGTTTTAGTAATCGTTAGAACTTCTGCTGTCATAGAGCACTCCTTTCCATTTCCAGGGTCAGTGAAAATCTTAATAAGAGCTACATTTCCTAGAGGTATCTGCAGATCGTTTTCTGGTTTCTTAGGAAGTTCCTGAAAGCCAGTCCTTTGACTATATGATTTTCATTGTCTTTCCTAGGAAAATCTGGAGAGGTGAAGAGGTGGAGCTATTCACCGGACTGAACATCACTTCCTTGTTTACTGATTGATTCCTGGCCATTCAAACAAACAAATGAGCAAACAAACAAAAAAACCCACTTTTTTCATTTTATCAGAACTGAACTTGGCTGAATAAATTATTTTTTACTGATTGTTAAAGTTGGGAGCAGCTGCCAGAGGCTTACAGAGTTGTTTTTTTTTTTTTTTTTTTT